AACCTATGCAGGCTGGCTTTGAAGAAAGGAGGTCTACAGAATTGTGGCTAATGCAGCACCTGAAGAGGCATGCAGCGGCAGTTCTCCTAGAATTGTGCTCTGGTTAGAGTCCTGGGATGCAGCCACAATAAGGACTTCTACTAGTGCATCAATCCCGTCATGGCCCCATTAGGCAGATTGGGATCCCCATATTAATGGCTGAGCAGGTCATTTAACCTCTGGGTCAGGGCAGAGCTGGGAACAGATCAAGAGTCACCATCCTACTCCCCTGCTCTGAGCATTAGGGAGTACTGCCTCTGGCTCTCTGGCCAGGTGACTCCCAGAAGTAGGTTAAGACTAAGAGGGAAGGACAATAGAAGCCCCTTTTACAATTGGCATTTAGCTATCAGAGATCAGGCACTAACCCACACCTCTCTCTGCAGTCACCTATCCCCAGTGTATTGTGGAGGCCAGGAGTCAGAAACCCCTCTGGAATTCTCCTTCCCTACAAGTAGCAGAGCTAGAGAGATCACTTACACGGATTGCTTATGCAGGCTAGCTTTGATCACTTCGCTCATTTCCTTCCTAACCTCCCCCTCCCCCCATGCTTCCTGCTTCTGGCACACAGCCCGTAAACTCACTGGATGTTCCCTCAAGTCAAGCCATGGTAGGTAGTTATGCTCTGACAACACTAGTAAACATATGGAGGGGATAGGGTGACCAGATTTTAAAAAGGGGCTGATTTTTTTTCACACTTGGGTTTTGTTGTTGTTGTGTTTGTTTTGTTTTTTTGGGGGAAGGGGAGAGGGAGAGGGAGAGAAATAGTTGCATATATAAGAAAGTCCCTAAATCAGGGCATCTGGTCACCCTAGGAGAGGGAGATCACCCACCCACCCACCGAAGAGCTCCATCACTCCCCTGTCCAGGGAAGGAGAGTCCTGTCTGAAGGAGCCTCCCACCACCAGAAGAAAACATCTGGTAAAAACTCAGCAGCAGGGGGGCATGCTCTCGCCCCAAGGAACCTAACTCCCACACCGGAGGCTGTTACAGCAGACCCAACATCCCCAATCCCAGAAAGAGGTGGTTTGTTTGTTTATCTTCCAAACCACATTTTATTTCTAACCTGAGATTACAGGCTGACCTTGATATTTGCATATGTGAGCACCCTATTAACATAGCCCCACTCTCCCATTCCCTAGAAAGTACAGTCTGTCTCCGAGATAAACCAGCTCCTTTTGTGGTCTTGGCAGGCTTCCCAGGTAACTGAACATTTCCAAGTAGGCTAGTTCATTACACCTTTGTCTGATCTCACCTGCTCCCTAGGCAGACTCTGGGTTTCTAAAATAGCCTGCAAGCAGTTACTTGGGCATAATCTCTCCGAAGGAAGCAGACAAATCTAGATCCTCAAAAGAATTATACCCTCACTTCTTTTCCATGCTGCCTGCCTGATAGGCCTGTTTGACTTAAGTTTCCAGCTGATCCAGCCATGACAGCTTCAGTCTCTAGGGTACATTCCTAAATCCTGACCAGAAAGAGGAGATTACCCTGTTCTTTGGCTCTTCAGACAAGCCCCGAGGAAGTTTTAAATTCATCTCCAGGAAGGATTTGAAGCACCCAAAGAAGTGGTGAATCAGAGCCGACTCCTGCCATCCCCTGCTTCCTGTCACACATCCCCGCCCCGGCAGACTTTTCCTTAGATTAGTGAGGCATGAATCCCTGATGTTCAGGGCTTCATTCCAGGAGGGACTGGGGGGTGGGGGGAAGAAGAGCTCCTCCCATTTCCAAGTGTTCTGTACCCGAATAGAGTGGCAACAAAAGCCAAGTGATCTCTGCTGACTCAGCACTCGTTAGGCCTATGTTCATTGATTCCAACGATCCCTGGGGCTGCCTGTGCTCGTCAGGAAACGGACAAGCCTAGGCAGTAGCTATTATAGCTTTTGCAGCTAGAGCTATGTGAACCCAGGAGCTCCTCTGGACTTCCTGTGGGAGAGTCTTTCCTTCCCTCCAGATACAAGGATCCTTTTCTCAGAGGCCCTTTAAGTCTATCCACTGTGCATCTAACTTCTAGTTAGGCCAGGCACAGCCCAATTAGTGGAGAGGTAGCACTAACAAGTCTGTGCACCAAACTCAGTATTTTAGAGGGAGAGGGGTAAACAAAGGGTTCTCAACTGGACTTGCCACCCATGTTCTTTGCAACCTCACTGATGGTGGAGGGGGAGACAAGTTAGACCAACATACTGCTGCCCTCCTCCTCACCAAGGGGGTGAGGGGAAGGAGAGCATGACCCCAATGAGTCAGTTCAAAAATATAGGCTTTTCAGGGCCACTATCAAGTGTTCATTTGGGATGAGACTCCCTTAGTCTTTTAGCCAGGTCACTCAGAGCGCCACCCATCTCCAAAGCATCCTCTCCTCTGCCAGATCAGACAGTAGGGACAGGCTTATCAGCCCAGTAAGGGAAAGGGCCATCTAGGAAAGCCTCCCCTGGACATGTGTTTTTAGGTTTGTTTCCAATTAACCTTGGAACAGAGTGGTTCGTTCTACTGCAGGGGGAGGGAGAAACCAGCAAGGGACCGAAAGAACAAGCAAGTTGTGCCCCGGCTGAGCCTAAAGAGAAGCAGCAACTCCACAACTGTTCAGTGCTGCTGCTGGCTAGGATTAACCAAGCGGAAACTGCTTCCCTGCCTGAAACATACTTAAAGGAGAGATCATATTGCAGCTAACTGCTCCACTGCTACCCATGACCGTCCTGAGAGATGTGCTATTTCTTTCCCCTTTAAGGAGGAGACTGAATGAAGCTAATGCAAGAATCCAGACTGGAGTCCATCTGGACCCATGAACCAAATCCCTTCTGCCCGCTCCCCCACCCCAAAGGTTTGCACTTTGGCTTTTAACATGGGCCAGAAAACTTATCATGGGAAAACTCTCAGGGGAGCAAGGAACCCAAATTAACAGGGATAGCCAGTGTTTGGTCCTCTTGCTCCTGGTTCTTCCCACCCACCCTCTTCAAATTAAGGATCAGGCCGAGCAGAATGCCCCATAGACTCACTAGTCTGGGTCATTTGACCAGTTCCCACCATAGGTGATGGAGCCCACAGCCTCTTTCACTTCTTCTAAAGTGGATGGAAGTATTTTGAGGTAGGGAACTTGAATACGCAGAGATTTTGCCCCACCCCCCTTCCTGGGAAGACTCCAAGACCTTCAGACAGCTCAACCACATTGCTTGGGCTTCTCCACTCATAGCCATACCACACCCTGAAAATGAGCAGTGTTCTTTCCACCAGTGCTGCAGGAGCTTTCCTCCACTTCCTTGGCTTGTAGGGAGGCCTTCCCTCCTCTGCAGCCCGCTGTTAAATGTGCTTATCTGACCACTGCTGAATGCCTCCCCCACCCCCACAGATACCACCCCTCCCGACATCTGCTTTTCCAATCCCAAATACTCCAGCATGACAAAAGACTGGAGCAGCAGCTCCCCCTCCCCCCAATGAGCTCAGCAATAGCTATTCTTTCTGAACCACAAGCCCGCCCTTGTTCTCCTACCAGCCTCTCCATCCCCCCCACCCACCCTTTGACTGGACAAATATTAAATATCAGCCAAAGGAACAGTTGATTTTTGGGGGAGTTGGGTTGGATGTGGTTAAGTCAGTGAATTCCCTGTAGCAGCCTGCAGAGTGAAGGCAGAGCAGGCAGCCATCCAACCATTACAGACACTTCAAGTGAGGGGAGGTAGGAATCCTTGTGGTTGCACATCCATTTTGGTCATTGTTCACAGAAGGGCTTAGACCAAATCCATTCCTCAGCCTTCACACACATCTGGCAAGCCAAGCCATTACCATGTATATCTGACCTGTATCACAAAGCCAGGCAGTTTGTAAGGGACTGGCTCCCACCTACACAACTGAAATCTAGGGTATTGATCAAAGCTCACACTGCAGGGGGGGGGGCACCATTCTGTAGCTCCCGCTCTCTGCGGTTACCAGCCTTAAGCAACTGGTGGTTACACTTGTGGGTGCAGAAGGTGCAAGATAGGACCTGCATTCTCGCTGAACTCCCAGTTAACAGTGAGCGCTATGGTGAAAGATACCGCACGGTTCTCTCCCCATCACACACAACGCTGGTCACCTCTGCACTCTAGTCAAGAACAACCTGGCTTCCAAAGGGAGGGGGAGCTCCGCGGGGCCGGCCAAAGCAGCGGCTGGCAAAGGCAATGCTCCCTTTGTGTGAGCTGAATGTAGGTCATGTTTTCCCTGCGCAACCCAAATCAGCCGCTAAACACCCGAGGTTCAGTGAAAGCCCTTATATAACCCTGCCAAGTCCTGCCCTGCAGCGAGCAGGCAAGGGAGAAGCCGGTCTGCACAAGCCAGCCCGCACTGAAGGGACATGGCTGTAGCGGGACTAGAAGACAGCATGCACAAGCGTGCAGGGGAGCAGCTAGCCCCGGCCTGTAGGTCTAGCATGGCTTCTCCCTGCAGAGCCCTGGGGGAGAGGCTGCCCGTGCAATTCTGCAGAGCTTCAGGAGTAAGTGGGGGAGGGGAGGTCTGAAGCAGCCCACTAGGCCATTTTAATCACGGGGGGAAGGGGGGGTGGTAAAAGGGAGATTTCGGCGAGAGGCCGTTTTGTTGCTGGTTTAAAGTAGCTGCCTTGGATGGGTTAGATCCGTTGCAGCAGCTGGTCGGGCAGCGGCTCCAGGAGCACAATGAAGGCAGCGAGGACTAGGATGAAGCACCGATGGCAGTTCCTACCGCCGGCCACGAGGCGCATGCAAGGAGCTGGAACAATGTGTATCCCGGGGAGGCGGAGAGCCATTGACCCAAACCGCAAACCCTGTATAGGATGGGAACCACTTCCAAGCCGGGGGGAAGGGGCAGCCCCCCCAGCGCCAACACCGATGGGCACATGCCCATCCCAAGCGAGGTCCCCCAAGGTACAAAGGCCTGGCTGCGCAGAGCGATCCCCAGCCCTGCGGAGGCTGGGAGCTCGCCCGAGGATGCCGCTGGCAAGGAGGGGACGGGGGGGCGCTTACCTTGCCTGGTGGACACGTTCCTCTCGTTGCCGGCTCTCAGGACCACCTGGGGGCAGCTCTGCTCCAGCACGAAGAGCTCGTCCTTGCCCACCTTGGTGCTCTTGCCGGCCTTGAGGGTGCCGCTGGGCCCGGAGGGGGCCAGGTAGCGTCCCTCGCCGTCCCGGAAGGCCACCTTGCCGGACCTGAATTCCAGCGTGTAGCCGGTGCCTTTCTCGGGCTTCTCCACCAGCCGGCCGTCGTGGCGGAGGAAGCGGTGGTCGCAGGTCTGGACGCTGTAGCGCTGGTCCTGGAAGACCAGGGTGATGAGGGAGTCCACCCCCCAGGGCACGTCGCGGTCCACCGCCATCTCCTCCTGCTTGGCGCTCAGGTGGGCGTAGCGCTTCCTGGTCAGGCTGTAGATGTTCACCTGCGGGTGCATGGCGATGTGCACGCTCCACTTCTCGGCCGCCGACACGGTCTGGGCGAAGCAGGAGATGCGGTCCTCGGTGCCGCCGAAGTAGCGCTTGTGGGGCTCGGACTGCAGCGACCAGCGCCCGTCGTCGTGGGCCAGGATGACGAAGCGGCAGTCGGCGGCCGGCTGCTCCCGATCGCAGCTCACGTTGCCGTCCTTGTCGGCCGCCAGGTAGCGGCCCAGGTGGCTCTTCAGGAAGACCACGTTGGAGTCGTCGCCGTCCTGCTCCAGCGTCCAGATCTGCTTCTTCTTCATGCTGGGCGCCGAGGCGTTCACCTTGAAGCCGAAGGCCTCGGCCGTCAGGTACTTGTTGCCGCAGTTGATAAGCCCGAACTGGATCTGGAGCGGCGCCGAGGTCCCGTTGGCGGTCATGCTGGCGCAGCGACGGGGGTGGGGGGGAAGCGGAGCCGCTGGGGCTGCAGGAGCCGGCTGGGCTGCAGCGAGAGAGCGCGAGCGACAACAGGGGGCGGCTGCGGCGGCTCGCCTGGGTTTTCTCCACGCCTCCCCCCGGCCTTTGTTCGGCTGGACCGCGCGTCCCCCCCGGCCCCCCTCTGCAGCGCACAAAGCCCGATTCACAGCGAGCGCCCCCAGCTGCAGCCTATATAGAGGGGCGGATGTCGGGGCTGTGCTGGCGGCCACGCCTCCAATTGAGACACCGGGGAGAGGGGTGGGGGAGCGAGGGTTTTGCAGCCACTAAAAAGAGGGGGGAGGTCTGTTCCTTTCAGCACCCTAAATAAACGCACTGCAGGGAACGAACCCCCCCCAGGGAAACCAACCTCCCCTCCCCCGGGCGTTTTCCTGCAAACAAGCTCTTTAATTGACAAAAATCCCCAATCGGCTATGTGCCTGGGTTGGGATTTTTTTTTAATTATGGAGCTAAGATTAGTTGCTTGATGCAAATGGATATAAAATAATAAAAATAGCCAAGCCGAAGGCAAAGCAGATCTATGGGAGGCAAATAGGCAGCCAAGGAAAATGAGCCGTGGATTTAATAGACCTTCAGGTGTCTTCGGGGTCTTCTAATATTTCTAGTGTTGCATTGAAAGTGTCATCAAACCTAAGCACTTGTTCATTTCTTCAATGTATGGGTCTTCTCTTGCGTTTCTCTTGGGCAGAGGGGGAGTTGGTGGGTGGTTGTTAATAAAGTGAAAATGTCACCTCCCCCAAGCAATATTTAAGGTGCCCTGATCTATGCTGCCTACACACCAAAGGCCCAATCCTGATCTTACTTACACCAACTTTAAACCAGGGCCGTTCCACTGGTTCACTGGAATTTCTTTGGGTTCTGAGCCCAGCATAATTCAGCACTCTATTTTCCACCAGTGCCTGGGCTCTGGGGATGCTGATGTTTGCCATTACTTCAAGAGAGATTTCTGGGGTCCATAGCTTGGAGAAAAATAAATACCGCTCTGCCCAAGGGTGAAATTTCACTGGGATACCACACCTCCAAACAAAAACTATGAGCCTCAAAGAGTTTCAACTTGTGGAGTTACCTTGAATTTTTCCATTAGGAGGGGAGGGTCTGAGTTGCCTCTCCTGCCTTTGGATTTGGCCCACAGAACCAACCATCTTCCCAGACCAGCTTGGATCTTGGAGGATGCGCCAGAGGCCAGTGGCTCTACACCAGCTCTGAACTCCCCTGTTTTGCCAATCCAAGTGCCACAGATTCTCTGGGATCCTTCACAGGGAGGTTCTACAATATGGAAGGAAAGGCTCTGGCAGTATTAACTTTCACTGTTTCTGCCCACATTTTTTTTGGGAGGGGGGAAAGTTTGCATGAGCCCAGCCTGTTCTGCCCTGCCCTATCCCACTGCCTCCCACGCCTCTGTGCTGAACCCCTCCTGGGAGAATTGAGGGGACAGAGAAAACATGCTAAAAGCAGGCAAAACTTCCCCTTCCATACGTGCAGGCTCCCATCTGCATCCTGACGTGGAGGCAACCAGGCGGCCTTGGGAGAGTCATCAGAAGCCAGAGTTCCCCAAATCTGAATGAACATTTCCAGGGAATGGGGGGAATTGAGTAGGAGGGTGTTGTGACTTTCCTGGCAGCAGGAGTCCCTTGCTAGAATCCCGAGTTCTCTGGTGGCTCAGTGGCACCTCAAAGCCCTCCTCCCCCCAATGAATAAATGTTCCATGGGGGGGTCTATAGCTCCCCCCGGGGTATTCTGCTCATCACACCCTAGATCTAACCTAGATATGATTATGGCCTTAATTCTCCAAACGCTCGCTCAGGCCAATAGTCCCACTTATCTACCTTTGCCCCCCAACCCAAGCTATGCAGCCTCACCTGTGTTTCAGAGGCTGATGCTCAGACAGTAGATAATGTTTTCACCTCTCAGCTCACAGAGAGCCGAACTAAAGGCCCTTTGTGCTGCTCTGGCAGTGTAAAAGGACCACAAAATGGGCATAAATGCCCCCCTGAGAACACTTCTTGTGCAGGGGGACTTCCTGGCTGGTGTGGAGCTGGCATAAGGACTCTTCCCTGGCCCTGCTCCTAGCCCCTGGGGTGGGGCATGTCCAGGAAGGACTGCACTATGGCTATCCTGTTTCCCAGCCCCTGTAGGGGACCCTAGGACTGTTCTAGCATATGGGGGAGGGGATGAACAGACACTATGTGGCCCCAGAATACAAGAGGTGCAAAGGTCGCTTAAAGCCACCTAACCCAGGGTTTCTCAAACAGGGGTCGCCGCTTGTGCAGGGAAAGCTCCTGGCGGGCCGAGCCGGTTTGTTTACCTGCCGCGTCCACAGGTCCGGCCAATCGCGGCTCCCACTGGCTGCGGTTCGCTGCTCCGGGCCAATGGGGGCTGCAGGAAGTGGCGCGGGCCGAGGGATGTACTGGCCACCGCTTCCAGCAGCTCCCATTGGCCCAGAGCAGCGATCTGTGGCCAGTGGGAGCCGCGATCGGCCGGACCTGCGGACGGGGCAGGTTCCCTACACAAGCAGTGACCCCTGTTTGAGAAACCCTGACCTAACCACTCCCTTCCCCCCAGCCTCCACATACACACTGTTACTGCCCCAAGTTCCAAGTCAGGGCCATTGGGTCAAATTCTGCTCTTGGGTGGGCTGCCCGTAGGGCACAGATCCTACCAGTCAGTCCGGTGGCCCCAGCGGGTTCTGTTGGGGCAGGATGGTGTCAACTTACTAGTTATTCCAGATTTACCCTCCAAGTATCTCCAAGCAGAGATTGGCCCAAAATATAGATATATTTTTATTTTGGGTTCAAATAAGTGTTCTGAACCGATAAAAAAAATCCACCCACTGAGTAATAGCCAGTTTCATTTTATTTAGTGAACACCTTCCCCCCTTGTCTTAAAGTGGTAAAAATCTACATGTCTTCTCACCAATCTGTTGTTTCCCACTGTCATTTGGACCCAATGCTGGTCTGTCAGTACAGGTTTAGGCCCATAGCTGTTGGGAGCTGAGCTCTGAATGGCTCGGCATGGACGGCTGGCTCCACACGGAGTGCAGCAAAGCAAGGCCTTGCAGCCCGCAGACTAATGTAGCTCGGTGTTAAAACTGAAAGCGACAGTGTCCAGTTAAAAATCATGGGCCAGACCATCCCTTCTGCCCTTTGATGATGGGAGAGGAAAACCCATTCCTTCGGCCCAAACAATGGCAGAGGCCCCTCTCTCTGACACTGAGAAAATCACCATGTGCGTGTTGGCCCAGACTCTCCAAGGTACTTAGGCTCCTAATTTCCACTGATTTCAGGCAAAGTTAGGATAGGGTGACCAGATGTCCTGATTTTTGGGTCCTTTTCTTATATAGGCTCCTATTACCACCCCCCCATTTGTCACACTTGTTGTCTGGTCACCCTAAGTTAGGAGCTTATATACCTTTGAGAATCTGGGTTTCTGTGGCAGGGGAATGCATAGGAGGTGGGAAGAGATCTGGGCCAAGGGAAAGCTGCTCATTCTCCTCTAAACCTGCCAAAATCTGGTACCAGTTCCTGCTCTGTTCTCTCAACCCCCTTGGCATAGGCAAGGAACCAATGAGAGCGTGTCTTCCAAGGGGAGTTGTGCTGCCAGGGTGGACTTAGGTGGCACACGGCCTGTAGTGTGTATTGGATGTACCCCCCTCAACTGAAGACATTGGCAGGTCAGAGTGGGGAGCTGAGCTATCTCATAGAGCTGGAAGGGACCCTGAAAGGTCATCCAGTCCAGCTCCCTACCTTCTCTAGCAGGACCAAGTACTGATTTTTTCCCCAGATCCCTAAGTGGCCCTCTCAAGGATTGAGCTCATAACCCTGGGTTTAGCAGGCCAATGCTCAAACCACTGAGCTATCCCTCCCCCCTACGGAGGAGGGAATGCCCTACCCCTCATGAGGAGATGATTCTGAGGTAACTCCCTTTTCCCAGCCCTCTCATGGGTTTTCCTGCAAGAGCCTGGGCTTTCGAAAGAATTCCCTACAGGTGTCATTAATTGCTAGAGCTTTTCAAAGCATGGCTGGGTCACTTTATAAGCATTTGCTTAAAGCTGCTGTGTGAATCACGTTTCCAGTGTGAATAAACTCTAGACCTAAAGAGAAAATCACACCAGAGGGTGTTTCACGAGTATTATGCAAAAACATTTGTTTTGCCTGGAGTCAGTGCAGGAAACTCTCAACTTGTCTCATGTTTGCATGACTAAGAATTGTTGTTAATTACTGGTCCCCAATTCATTCAGAAAGTTCAGGAACTGTAGCCAACCCTGCAGCAAGCCTGGGATGGACTTTGAGGAAGTAACATCACCAGAAACCAGGTGAGTTTTGCATGGGATCTGTTTTTTCTGCAACATTGTGCAGGGCTTGGTTGTTAACTCCAGGAATTATTTACAAGGCTAGAATTATAAAAGTCTAATGTACTAGCCACTGTATATGCACATTGTTTATTTTTTGCATGTCTCTCAGCTTGGACAATGAAACTAGACTAAGTCAGTTTAATTTTCTAGTTTCTGATCAGCAACATGGTTCTCAGTGGGTATCGAACTTGTGAGCTTTGGCTCCAAAAACTACAGGTCTCTTTCATTGTAGCTAAAGGAGAATTCTTTTAACTGTAAGTAGCAGGCCTTTTTCCTCACCAGGGCTAGCCAGTACAGGGAGACATGATCAGATTCACTAAGCTAGTCTGTTATCTATGCTGATGTTCCAATCCTTGTCAGCCATTTGTATCACTCATTCAACCCATGTGATTTAAATATATTTATATTAATGCATAGCAATGTTCCCCCCAGGAGGGGGCAAGCTCTGGGATGTGCACACAGTAGGGGACTGGAAGGGCCTTTTGCATGAGGAAGCAGTTGGCCCTCTTCTCCCATCCATAGAGAGAAGTCACCAGAGCACAATCTCTTCTGATGTCAGCATTCCAGTGTGTTGCCATGGTACCAATGTGGGTTTGGAGTTAACTCGGCAGATACAAACCTAGGGCCTGCTCCTGTTCCCATTGAAGTGACTGACAAGACTCCAGGATCAGGCCACCAAGCAGTTTTCCCATCCCTATAAAACGTCCCTTCTAGCGATCACTTCAGGCACGTGCTGTGGTCGCTGTAAGAATTATACTGTATCCAATGTCAGCACTTTGATCGGCCGAGCAGGGCACTGCGAAAGCA